ATGAACTTTTTTGGATGCAGATAATTCATTTTCTGATCGAATCAATGATTTGGAAGCTCCGAACTCAGTTTTGCTATCTCATCCAAGTTTCTGAGTATTTCCTTCACCCAAAAACTAATCTAAGACCCTATCCTACACTAACCTAAAAAGAGTAAGTTGCTTAATTTCGTCATTTAGTGCGCTCACTGAGAAGTAAAATAACTAATTACTTTCAGGCAAGGGAAAACGCCTGATCATTTGCCACATAGGTAGCGTAGATGGATTTGTTCCTGAAGCATTGTGGGCATTTGAATCCAAAAAAACTGGAGACTATCACGAAGAAATGGATGGTAACTCATTTGGAAATTGGTTCAAAAAAAATTTGCCGACACTTGATGATAACGCAATTATTGTGATGGATAATGCCCCGTACCACTCCAGAAAATTGGAAAAAATTCCAACAATGGCCACCAAAAAGGCAGACATTCAACAGTGGCTTGTCTCAAAGAAGATCGACTTCGACCAAACAATGGTCAAAGCTGAGCTGATAAATATAATCAAGCGACATAAGTATAAATATGATTTAAAAATTGTTGACGAAATGGCCAAAAACTAAAATAAAACGATTCTCAGGCTGCCTCCCTATCACTGCGAACTGAATCCTATCGAGTTGATTTGGGCCGACATCAAGGAATACGTGGCGTCAAATAACAGCACTTTTAAGTTTTCCGACCTTAAAAAACTGTTTGATGTTGCTGTCGATAGAATTACGCCAGCAAAATGGAGAACATGTATTGACCATGTCCAAGAGAAGTTTGAAACCAAAATGTGGGATATGGACAATATCATTGACACCCAAGTTGAACCCCTTATAATTGACATCAACAATTCTGATGATTCAAGCTCCTCGGAATACAGCATATAAATCGATTGATACCATTAAGACTGGCAGTTTAACGGGCTTTTTGGCAAGACAGGTAAGTTCATTATAGACTGCAATCAAAGTGTAAGTTTCTAGTTATTAATGTGGAAATTCCAAATTTATAATTACACAAAATTAGGGTTAATTTAGGAGTTCCAAAGCATAATAGTGCCATTTTGACCGTCTTCCTATTTCTCATGTAAATTTTAATAGCAATCAAACTAACAAACTTTATGGAGTCTGTAATAAACTTTTGTACTACTACTACTACGTCTGTAGTTTCTATTTGCTCAAAAAAATTTGCTCTGCATTGTGAATAGAAGGTTGATTTGTAAATATTATTGGGTATATATGTAAGTTAATAATAAAATATGAACAATTTCAATTGAGATGGTCCACAAGTTTTTTTCGTGTGCGTTTTAGTAACATTTTGCTGAAATGGTGAATACAGAATTTTTTGCACTGATTCCAATGTCGAAATATGATTAGAAAGGCGTGGTATATTCCTGATAATTTACTATGTACGACATTTTTTGATAGATCAGTCACAATAGCTTGATACGGCCCTGTAGCGTCTCCTACGGTTAAGTTCTTGATCACGTGCAATACGGGTGTATATGTTTGATTTGACTTTGTTTCTTCGATGGATACAGTTCAGTTCATCATTTCTCGAAGAACTCATTCACTCATTCATCACGAACAGTATTACAGGTTGCCGATCAATCATGCGAACCTTATGAGTGAACGAACGACAATGAGAAATGGGACAGCACCATAGGCAACCAAGTAAGCCGAATGTTGTATAGCTGGTTGCCTGAATACGATCTTGGTTCGGTTCAAGGCTATTGCACGGTGCACAATAAAGTTTATAAAAAACGTAGTAACAAAATGCTGTTAGTTATTACAAAGGCTGAAATAAATAACTAGCTATCTTTTTTACAACATACCATCCGTCGATGCTAATGGAGAAATTTGAAATAATAAATAAAATGATGATAAAATTGAAATATAAAATTTAAATTTGAAAGCATTATTCTTTGAACGTTGACCGCCCGCAAGGCACAGATGTCGTTTGTAACCATCTCAAATAATCTGGGATAGACTTTTGCTCTTTCCTGTTCTCGGTAAAAGCGGTTGATTAAAATATTTATCCGGTTTGATAGTCCGTGCTGCAAGTGGATTTGAACTCCGGAATTAAAGTCAAAATGGTCCCAAAGGTCTGAATTTGTTTTTCTCTTCTTCAGTTCATTTTCCGCTTGGTTTTCATCTCCGATACGAAAATAGAGGAGCGTCCTCCCAAAAGGACATGGAAACCCTAATCAAAGGTACGCACTATTTATTAAAACATTTCTGATCTGGTGAAAACAAAGAACAAAAGTGCATTCAACATTATTTGAGATTGTTAGGACACGTGTATATCTCATAGCTACACCTGCTATGTGAGATACAGTTTACGTGGAGTATTTAAATTTGAAACATAAATCCTCAAGAAAAAAATTAAGAACAAAAAATCGACAATACGAGGTGTTTCAAAGCGATTATCCATCCAACCTGACATTGCTTAGCTCCTTCGAGAGGCAGCGTTTTCACAAGCATGATATTCGGCATTGTTGCGTAAAATAGTTCGATCGTGAACTAGTTCCTAGAACTAGTGGATAAGCCTGTTGACTTAGTTTACCGAAATGAACTAGAAAGCACATCACTATTCGTAGAGCTCGTTCTAAAACAACAGGATGTAACTAGGACGTAACCCTGAGGAACTCCCATGGTTATTTTGTCCTGATCCTTGGGATAGGACCACCGAGACGACGTATAGATTGAAAAAGTACACTAAAACAACCATCTAGTTATGTTATCGTCGTATCAATTTCCCCTAAATCTCTCTTTACAGAGTGGACAGTGTGGCACTACGGTATTGAATTTTCAATCATAAACTAATCCTACTAATCACAGTCGTTTTTTCGCATACGGCACCGTTAACAATCCAATAATCATAAATCTCGGTATACGCAATCGCACGTAGAAAATCGCTTATAAATTATCATCCAACATATCGATTCTGTGTTCGTATGAACTCCACAGTGGCGTAGCTATGCAACAGAAATATACGAGTCCCTTCCCACTTCAGTTGGCCCAACTATTGAAATCTTAGTTTTTTCTTATCAAACACAAATAATAAAAATGTAGCAGGGTGTTATAGGTTTAAAATATTAACAATGAAGATTTTTATAATATATAGAAGAAAACCCCAACTTTATCACTTCCTAATCAAATTTGCAGCATAAAAATAACACATGTTGCAATTACAGCATATCAACCTATTTTCATTTCAATGCAAAATAAGTCTATAACGCATAGGTGGCTGTGAAAAATAAAAGCCATGACAATTGTTTTTATTAATCACAGCTGTCAGAATACGTTTAAAATAGTTTTGGGTAGTTAAAGTTTTCAAAATGGGTAGAGGAAAGGTTATTAGTCAGAAAATTCGGTTACTGATAATGAAATTTTTTAATTCTGGGAAACCAAACTCAGAAATTGCAACTTTGTTAGACTTATCGTGGTACAGTGTGAGAAATATTGTTAGAAGATATAACGTAACTGGTTCAGTTAGTATTAAGCCACGATATGTGAAAAAAGTAATCTCACAAATATCACGCTGTTGGAAGGAGAATTTTGTGGTCCACAACTCATAGAGAGGCCCACAAACTGGGATTTAGCACTTGCAAGGTAAGTTTTCTTATAAAAAAGTGAAGTAAAAACCCCAAAGTTGCACAACTTGTTCATAGGCCAAAGAAAAGCCACTATTAACTCCACTGCAAAAGAAAAATCGGCTTAGATGGGCTAAAGAACATAGACAATGGACACCTCAACAATGGTGTGCAATATAATAGACTGATGATACCCGATTCGAAGTTTGTGTTGGTGACAGTCGCAGTAGAGTTATTCGCAAAAACATGAAGCATTCCATATTGACTGTCTGAAGAGAAAAGTGAAATTTCCAGCATCCATTATGGTCTGGGGCAGTATGTCATCAAAAGGAGTAGGAAAACTTCATTTTATTGATGGAAATGTGGATACAAACAAATATTTGGCAATTTTAGAAGAATCGCTTTTACCAGTGATGGAAGAAATGTTTGACATCCGGCCAAGATTTTGTGTTTCAGCAAGATGGTGCAGCGTGCCATACCTCAAAAAAGGCTATAAAATGGATGGAAGAAAATAATGTACCACTTTTGAAATGGGTTACTAGCAGTCCAGATCTGTCACCTATTGAAACTTTGTGGCACGAGATGAAAAAGGTTCTACGACAACATCCTGCTCGTACAATCACCGAACTGAGACAAAAGCTTCAAGAAATATGGGATTGTTTTACATCAAATTTTTGCCAAAACTTGGTTAACACTATACCCCAAAGAATTTCAGCCGTAATAAAAAATAAAGGTAATCTTTCAATTGTTACTTTGTTAACTTCGCGCATTTATTCGCACATTGTTTATTTGTTCAGATGTTCTATTAGTTATAGGTCTAAGTGATTTCAAATATGTATTTTTTACGACTAGAGTGTATCTAAAATGTTTTTGAGAAAATAAATTGTTTTAGAAGTAAATAGATTCGTCATGTTTAGTTTATAAAGGCATATTTTGGTACAAATCTTGAAGTGCGCCAACTGAAGTGGGAAGGGGCTCGTACTCAGTGGCATTAGGTGCGTTAAACCCAGAAAAAAATTTTCCAACTTGATTTTTTGGCAATGAGGTAGTCATACATCTAGAATGAAACGATAATATTCTCACGAAATTTTATTGACAAGTAATAAGAAAAAAAATTAATAATGTATTGGGCGACCCGCACTCCTGTATACGTCTAGACATCGACAAAATGAGATGATCGATGTCTGGTTGTGGCACCTCATTACAAGCAGCTCGAACTTCGTGGATTAACCGTGGCAGAGTCTGTGGCAGATAGTGCATAGTGGATAGTCTCCTCCTCATCATATCCCACACATGTTCGATGGGATTTAAATCCGGTTAACGAGTTGGCCACGGTAAAACATTAACGCCTGCTTCTTGAAGAAAGTCCGTAGTACGATGAGCAATATGGGGATCATTCTTCATTGCTCACGTATCTGTTCTCAGCGTATTTATTGTGACGACAATATTTCAAAGTTTTTACAAGTTATTACGAATCGTGTACCAGTTTTTCAACATGGACGTTTCTGATTCAGGTATGTACAACCTATTTTGTCAATTTTAATTGTAATATTAGCTGAGTTATCAGAACAAATGCCGTTTCCGAGAAATCTATGTTCCAATCATTTTTACCTTTGATATTAATTAAACTCGAATGGTTTTGATGAATTTCTGGATGTATCCCGATTATGATTTTGGTTTAATATTATATAATTAGATCTTGGTTAATCATACAGACAGAAAATGTTTCCAACTTCATCCAAATTTCAGTATAATCGCCAAATTAAAGATGAACGTTCGTTTAAGCCATTTCTGTCCTTTCTTGATAGGGCCCTCTGAGTCAAAATCATTACTCGAAAAAAAATTTACAACATTACGCAAGGGTATCCCAATAACGACATTAACAAAAAATTGGACTATGCTGAATCTTTTTTGTTGAATTTTCAAAATTATTCAGAAGAACGACAAAAAGAAGTTATACACAAATTGTCAAATTTAAAATCAGAAATAAAACGTAGATGGATTGCCGCACAATACCCAGAAGATCTTTTCCTCAAAAGAAATAATCGTTAGCTCCAAATGTCATTTGAAATATCGCAAACAAAATCACGACCAGGGCGCCACAGAAATCTGTTGGCAATATTAGCGAGCGAAGTAAAAGACGAAAACCAGAAGCGTTCCGTGGTGAAATAAGCTCTGAACAGCTGACTTTTGCCACTCTGGGGCAAGACTGATGTTTCAAAGTGACGGAAAGCAGCTATCAGCCGTATTAACCCCAATGAAAGCATTGTCTGTTTGTCGAAGCTGGCCTGACAAGAAGACAGTATGACAATTAGAAGTTTTAACAAGGAACTATACCCATGCTATACGATCTTAGAAAAGGCCCAAAAAGACTGTTAACCTGTACAAGAATCTTATAAAATCACTGCTACTTGCGCTTAATCTTCAAGATATATTAAATCACACTGCTTCGCGGCTTTCATTGCATTTGTTCTCCAGAATTTAAATAGTGAAGATAGAAACACGCTAATTTTGACATATAAATGGGGATGTGATGGGTCACAGCAGACATTTAATCAAAATTTTGAAAATAACTTTGATTCTGATGCAAATATATTCCAAAGTTCATTTGTTCCGTTACAGTTGTCTTCTAATCCGTTGCCTTCTTCGCCACGATTTTGCAGACCCATAACATTTGTAGATATCACAAACGAGGAAATAATTTATATAGATAACAAAATAAAGTCTTTGGAACCGACACAGGTCGCGCAATTAAAGAAAAGCTTTGTAGTAAAACATGTAATGATGCTCACAATGATTGATGCGAAAGTGTGTAATGCCGCAACCAACACAAAATCCACGATGAAATGCTACATTTGCGGTGCTACATCCAAAGACTTCAACGATTTATCAAACAAACGTCCTTGTAATGAAGATTCCTTAAAATTTGGCTTATCAATTTTGCATGCCAGATTAAGACTGTTTGAAGGAGTGCTTCTTATTGCGTACAAATTGCCAGTGAAGAAACATCAATTAAGAAGTGAAAGAAAGAAACAAATAGTTCAACAAAGGAAATTGGAGATACAAAAGGAATTTAGATCCCAACTGGGTCTTATAGTTGATGTTCCAAAAGCCGGTTAAGGAAGCAGCAATGCTGGGAATACCAGTAGGAGATTATTTAGGGATCAGCAACAATAACCGGTATAGATTCCCGTCTCCTTTTTCGTCTTAAAGTAATTTTAGAAGCGATATCAAGCGGCCATAAAATAGACAAACAGAAATTTTGTTTGGACACGGCACAACTGTACGTTGAATTATATTCCAATGACACCAACTCTTGACAAAATAGCGCTCCATGGAGCATTGAGAAAACTTTATTGCCTATAGGAATGACGTCAGAAGAGGCCGCAGATGCTCGCAATAAACACTTTCGGTTATACCGCCAAAATTATGCTCAGAAGTTCAGCAGAGAGTCTTGATATCTTGATATCATAAATAGATTATTATTGAGCTCGGATCCCCTGATGACTGGCATGAGACTTACCCCAGAAGAATTAGAAAACCATTTCTCAAGGAAACTGTTGAAATGCTCTTGCCTGAAGAACCGATTTGTCTGGTGATAATGATGATGATGATGATGATGAAGACTCTGCACCAGAGATTTAGATCAGAGTTCCCCAAACTTTTTTGTGTCGTAGACCCCTTGCCATGTTTTTCCGTATTGGGTAGACCCCCTACTTACCTGATATTGATTTCCTGTAAATTTCTAACTGTAGTGAAGTTTAGTGTTAAAAACTTCAAGTAAAAACATATGTTAATTTATACATTTATTAATTGAATTTAAATTAAAACTACTCAAAATAAAATTTTGTATCTGTTATGTAAAATATACGTAACATTAAATATACAGGTGTCTGACCAATAACTACCCGCATTGGGAATAAGTGCCCGCATTGAAAAAAATAAGAGGGATAAAATAAGTGAATAATAAGTGAAAAATAAAAAAAAAGTTGTTTACTTAAAATAGTACCATAAGCGAGTTCGTTTATTAATTATAACATAAACGTATGTTCTACAATAATTTCACTGTTAGTTTGATTAAATTCCGCTTCTTATACGTTTAAGTTATCTAAAAATAGGCAATAAATTATCGAATTTTCGTGTGTACCTATCCTTGAATTTTCAGAATAATTTAAAAAAAATATTTTCTATAAAGGGGGGTTCTTTAAAAAAATCAATGCGGGCACTTGTTCCCAATGCGGGCATTTATTGGTCAGACACCAATAAACATAAAATGAACTATAAATAAAATAACATAAGCAATAAGTTAATATACAGGGTGACTTTGAAGTTGAGTCATTAATTTTCAGATAATGATTGTAGAAGGAAGATAAACCAAAATATGTGTAAAAATAAAAAAAAAATTAAAAAAAATTTTTACCTTGTTTTATAAAGTATCCTCCCGACAAGTATTTCAGTGCGGACCTGTATTTGATCGTGAGGTCCCCTGTGAGGTCTTAAGTCACCTGATTCACGAGCCCGTTGTACTACATTAACAAAGGCACGAGGGGTTGGTTGCACTCGATTGGGAAACCGATCCGCATAAACATGTGCCATTTTTTATTTCGTTTGAGCCTCGCAACAGACACACGCGACTGAAACTGACTGTATGTACGTATATAACTGAACTGAACTGTAATCGTAAAAACATCGTTCCAAATTCTTTCGCTTTTTTGTTTCCGATGCGATGAACCGTTGTTGCCAAACACGAACACATGATATTATTGAGACAGGGCGGTACTCAAACTTCCAAAGGGCTATAACTTTGTTACTTTAATTTTACCAGAAAAATGGTAAAGGAAAAAAACATTTCTTTTGATCAGATCTACACACTGTTAAAATAAATGACTCAACTTCGAAGTCAAGTATTTAGTGAGAAGGTTGAACCTGATGCTTTAATAATAAATTATCAACATTATTTGGCGTCAATTTCGTAAGGGTTAATGATAAATCTCCTCGGCTAATGATGTCCAGTCTGTTTCTTTTTTTCGTTAGGAGATTGGTAACAGCGCTGAACCCCCTTTCCACTAGGTATGACGATGGAAAGGAAATTAAAAATTTCCTCGCTATATTCCATAATACGGGATAAGTAACGGGTATGTTGTTTTGCAGCCAGAATTGCTGATATCCGTTTTTAAACTGAACCTTAAGTTATTCGTTTGTACTTAGTTCAGTCAGTTCCTCTTGTATTATGACATTCGTTTCTTCTATGTCATCATATGGATTAATTATCCACGGTGGTATTACCATAGTCAAAATATCCTCAAACCTAGATTCAAAATCTGAATAGAGGGCATTTAAATGTTGAACGTAAGTTGAAACGTCGTCTTCCTGGCAGCTTGTCTGTGACAACTTGGGGAACTGAGAAAATTCGCCCCGTCCAATATTTTGCTTCATTAGTTTAACTCTGGCAAGAAACGCTGATAAGATCTACTTTGTTTTAATCAAATTGAAACTGTCGCCTTGTAATTGCAAATTAACCATATTAAATTTTGTAAACAAATCTGTTAAATAGGCGATGTCTGTTTCCCTCTTCATTAAATTTACTTTTAAAATTTTATCTTTAGTATCCAGAAATTCTAAAATAGTCTCAAAAAGTGCAAAAAATCTTGTCAAACATAAGCCTTTCGACAGCCAGCGTACTTCAGTGTGAAGGAGTAATTGAAGTGTTCGTCATTTTCTTCTATAATAATTATATTACCGATTGCTAAAACTTTCAAAAAGAAACTATTGAGGAGTACTCGTGTAATTTTGCATGATTGAATATTTATATATCTTTGCTAACTACGAGTACAATACTAAAATTTAATAAAAAATAATGTACTTCCTTTTCTCCAGCACTCTCAAACAAAATAACACTGACTCACTATAATTTGTGTGATATACTAACTGTTTATATTTTTTAAAATATTTTCTTAGCACTTTCCTTTTCAAGATTCAGGAAATGAATAAACGTATTTGTCCCACATTCGTATTAATAGAGTGACGAATTGAACTAGTCAGTGCAAGGTAGCGAAGCTCTGAGACTGCGACTCTCAGGTTTTTACAAGTTCAAAATGTATTGCGACCACAAAGCGAATACGAACATCCTACAACTTACACAATTATATAAACATATATAATAAATTTTTTAATTTCTGGGTACTTTTATAAATAATGTATATGTTTTGATATTATAAGATAGTATGATGTAAGTAAATAGGTACTATCAGTGTATGTGTTGAGATCCACTATCGTGGACCCCCATATTCATTTCATGGACCCCCAAATTTTTTTTCGCTGACGTAGACCCCTTGCAGGTTGTCATAGACCCCTAGGGGTCGATATAGACCACTTTGGGAATCAATGATTTAGATGTTCCCGCACAATTAGCCTCCAGTGTTCAGGACAGCCATCATGTTGGAACTCAATTCGTCTGTCGCCGTTGAAAATTAGCACCTCATTCACCAATTCGGGCAACTTATTTTGCAGAAAATGTAGATAATTATCTCCTTTAAGACGATCTGGCAAATAATGTGGCCCAATCACATGATTGCCAATTACTCCTGCCCAAACATTCACACTGAATCTTCTCTGAAAAGAGCTTGGCCTCTTTACTCTTGGGTTCTGATCTTTTGAAGCCCAATGGTGCAGATTGTGCAAATTTAGTATCGCTTCCTTGGTGAATTTGGACTCATCGGTCCACAGAATACTTGTCAAAAAGTCCGGATCATCTACGTCTGTGTGCAGCAAGAAACGACTTAACCGGACTCGGTTGTCGAAGTCATTGTTTTCAAGACTTGCAATCAAAAAAGTACGGGTAACAGTTTACCGCCGCTACATGCTAAATTAAAGCGATAAGAAGTTTCCATTGCAGACAGTTGTAAGTGTGATAGAAAAATTACGTACCTCGTACAGGAGTGTAAAAGAAGGCATGTTTGTTATTCTGGCGAAGTACTTTCTACACTTTCCAAATTGAAATTCCCAGTGATGAAGCTACATTTCGGATGCTTTGAGTAGGATCTTCCTCGACAAGTGCCAAAATCCTCTCATCGATGTCAAGATTGTGTCGCACTAGAATTTTACCCCCTGTACACAAATTTGCAAATTCAAGAAATTATTTCGACTTTTTTGTGACTTGAAGCATACCGTTAGAATCGGGATAAACTAGAGTAGTTTTTAAAATAATTCTAAGAAGGTGAACGCTTTTAGTTTTTTTTTACAGGAATTCAAAATTGACACTTACATTTTTTTGTTCTTCTTTGTAACCCTTTGTGAGTTTATAAATAAAAAACTACATGCTGCTGGCAAGTAATGTTGATTAAGATAAATTATTCATTAGGTGGACATACTCTTTATTTTTTTTTATTTCACTTTGCGTATTACATTTTGGAGTTTTTACTAAAAAGAAAACTGCATAATTAATGCCGTTGGGCATTCTCGTGGCCGAATAGGCTAGAACCCCTAAGACCATTTAAACAAAAAAAAAATGCCGTTGGGCGAAAAACTGTTTGAGGGACCTGCGGTGATAGAAAAGGCCTCCCCTGTCCGCCATTTCAATTCGGCAAACGATGCACCAAACACCCTGTATAGGTGATACTTTTGACGAGTTCTAGAAGCTGTTAAAATAAATGAGTCAACTTTGAAAACACTTTCTTCTCCTCAGCTATAGAACATATTAAGCATCTGGTAGTTAGACTTTGGGCTTTTCTTGATGATTTAATGAATTTTCTGATTCTGATTACGGACTTGGATTTTAAGATAATCATCTGCGTTTTCCGCAGTGGTCGCGTCTGGTTCGTACACGGCGCTTTGCGCTGTCTCAATCCGGTAAGAAGCTAGTTTGAACTTGGAGTGATCCTACTACTTATAGGCTGTATACCGTGTTTGTAGTGTCTTATCTTTGTATGAGGCGGCGCCTACTTTGTATTCTAGTGGCTTGTGGAACATCCTCGTTTGTATATCCAGCCGATAGGGATTATTTATTTGTGACGAGGATGACATAATGGCTCACAACAAACTGCGGAAGGAATGAGACGAGTTGAACGAACTTATGGAATTTATGCTGAAATGTAGAAATATCCAGACCGAAAGCCATTTTTGCTTTTCACTCCATAAACGGAAAAGTTATGTGTATTTCCCTCGCCGTTGATGGTACACTAGATTAGATTGTAGTGATGTCCGGGGGAGCTAACTTCTGTCAAACGTCTCCTCTGACTGCGGTATTTTCTCCTGAAAACTTGCATCAATAGAAAACATTCAAAATATCACTATCAAAATCTCGTGGACCAACCACAATTTGACCCTTTTTGTCGTCTTCAGCGACGAATCGCGATTCTGTCTAGGTACGCACGATGGTGGTAGAAGGGTCACATCGCTGACCAACGCACATACGGGTATATGAATTAAAAATCCGGTCAAAACTTTTTTTTTCATTTAAGGTTACTTCAAAAACTGTAATTAGCTCTGTTATGGTTAATAATGCTGCTAAGAACAGCAGGTAAAGAAATAAAATGGGTATAGTTGCAAAACTCGAAAATATTTATTAAAAAAATTTATTAAGAAAATGGCAACCAAGAATCATCTAAATCATTGATTCCCAAAGTGGTCTATATCGACCCCTAGGGGTCTATGACAACCTGCAAGGGGTCTACGTCAGCGAAAAAAAAATTGGGGTTCCATGAAATGAATATGGAGGTCCACGATAGTGGATCTCAACACATACACTGATAGTACCTATTTACTTACATCATACTATCTTATAATATCAAAACATATACATTATTTATAAAAGTACCTATGAAGTAAAAAAATTATTATATATGTTTATGTAATTGTGTAAGTTGTAGGATGTTGGTATTCGCTTTGTGGTCGCAATACATTTTGAACTTGTCAGCGTTTCTTGCCAGAGTTGAACTAATGAAGCAAAATATTGGACGGGGCGAATTTTCTCAGTTCCCCAATTTGTCACAGACAAGCTGCCAGGAAGACGACGTTTCAACTTACGTTCAACATTTCAATGCCCTCTATTCAGATTTTGAATCTAGGTTTGAGGATATTTTGACTATGGTAATACCACCGTGGATAATTAATCCATATGGTGACATAGAAGAAACGAATGTCATAATATATTAAGTGACATATAACATTTCTATACTAAGTGACATATAAATCCGAACACCCAGTTTAAATAGTTTTATTTTAATAAAATTTTGTATAAGTCCTTAATGAAGCATAATAAGTAAATGATAACAATTTCAAAATGATTGCACTGCTTTAAAGCCCTTTGACCTTTAATAATGTGTGGATGCACCCTGATGTGCTACGCATTCTCCAACGCGCCTAGGCATGCTTCTGATCAGGTGGTCAATGTCCTCCTGTGGTATCTCATTCCAGGCAACCACCAACTCCTCTCGAAGTGCTTCTAGAGTCTGAGGAGGACGTTGCAAATTGAGCAATCTCCTGCCCATCATATCCCACTCGTGCTCAATTGGGGATAAGTCGGGACATCTTGGTGGCCATGGTAACAATGTGACATCATTATGTTGAAAGAAGTCTATTGTGACTCTTGCAACATGTGGTCGGGCATTATCTTGTTGGAAAGTTGGATCTGCCAGGGTGTCAAGATAGGGTAAAGGATGGGGTTCTAGAACTTCGTGGATATAACGCTGCGCGTTCATGTTACCTCTGATGAAGATTAAAGGTGACCTGGAACCATAAGCTATAGCACCCCAAATCATAACTCCAACAGTGTGATGAACATGTCTTTCAACAAAAAACTGTGGATTCCTCCTTTCACCACGTCGCCTTCTAACCCTGGCACGACCATCGTGCATGCCTAAACAAAATCGAGACTCGTCACTAAAGACAATACTGTTCCATTCCTGATCCCAGAGTGACCGTTGTCTGCACCACTCAAGGCAATTACGTCGGTGTTCTCGAGTTAAAGGGAGGACCCAGTGTGGCCGGTGTGAAAACAAGCCAAAACTTCTCATTCGTCGGTAAACACTTCGCATGCCAATAGGTCTTCCGTGTTCTGCAAACCATTCATTTGCAATGGACCTGGTAGTGGAGAAACGGTCCCTTAAGGCCAATAATCTTAGGCGGCGATCTTCACGGTCTGTTGTTCTACGGCGGCGTCCAGTTCCCCTTGCTCTTTGCGTACGGCCTTCTCGAAGCCATGCCTGACAACACCTAACCACAGTATCTACACTGCTTTGCACTCTAACTGCAATTGCCCGAAAAGAAAGTCCAGCTTCCCGAAGTCCCACTATACGGCCCCTATCAAACTCACTAAGTTGACGAAATCGTACAGGTATCCGTACTCTAGGCATCGAAACCGATCGTAATGGATGTCAAAAAGCAAAATCCGCCAACGTTGATTCTTTACTGCGGCTGAAATATTCATTTTTAGAGCA